AAACGATCAAAAGCAAATACTACCGCAAGTAATTCTTTTTCCGTGGTGGTATAATTTAATTGGGCTTCAATGAGAGTCTTACTTGCGTAGTAAATGGGGTGAAAGATTTTATTTTTCCTTTGTCCCAAAACGGCACCCACGGCCCAATCACTTGCGTCACACATTACCTCAAAAGGTAGGGACCAATCGGGAGTGATAATAATGGGTGCCGAGATAAGAGCATTCTTGATTGTTTCAAAAGCCTTTTTACAATCGGAGGTGAACTCAAAAGCTTGGTCAACATGTAACAAGTTACAAAGGGGTTTTGCAACTTTTGAAAAATCTTTAATAAACCGTCGGTAAAAACCCGCATGTCCCAAAAAGCTACGAATGCCTTTGACCGAAGTAGGTTCGGGCAATTGCATTATCATCTCAATTTTAGCTTTGTCAACTTCCAATCCTTTCTTTGAAATCATGTGACCCAAAACAATTCCCTCTTGTACCATAAAATGGCATTTTTCCCAATTTAAAATCAAGTCATGGGTCTCACATCTCTCCAAACTTTTCCTCAAATTTTCAAGACAGTTTTCGAAATTAGTGCCAATAAGCGAAAAATCATCCATAAAAACTTCCATAGTGTCCTCAATCATATCCGAAAAAATAGACATCATACATCGTTGGAAAGTGGCCGGAGCATTACATAAACCGAATGGCATACGTCGGAATGCAAAAGTTCCAAAGGGACAAGTGAAAGTAGTTTTCTCTTGATCTTCGGATGCAATATGGATTTGGTTGTATCCCGAGTACCCATCCAAAAAACAGTAAAACTCATTTCCGGCCAACCGATCTAGCATTTGATCTATGAAAGGCAAAGGAAAGTGATCTTTCTTAGTAGCTAAGTTCAACTGCCTATAATCCATACAAATCCTCCACCCCGTAACGGTCCTAGTTGGGATAAGTTCGTTTTTTTCGTTGGTGATGACCGTAGTACCACCTTTCTTAGGCACGCATTGAATTGGACTTACCCAACCGCTACTAGCAATGGGTTAAATAATACCCGCGTCTAACCACTTCAAGATTTCCTTCTTAACCACTTCTTTCATGATTGGATTTATCCTTCTTTGAGGTTGCACCTTCCCAACACTATTTTCTTYCAATATGATCTTATGTTGGCAAAGGGAAGGGCTTATTCTCCTAATATCAGTTATGGTCCAACCAAAAGTTTTCTTATGGTCCTTAAGTAAATCTACCAATCTTTCCTCTTGTTCACTACTTAAGTTGGAAGAAATAATTACAGGCAATTTTTCTCCTTCCATAAGATATGCATACTTAAGATGTGAAGGCAGTGGTTTTAACTCCAAATCGAGTGCTTCTAAAATGGACAGGGTTTGGGTTGGTATATCTTTAAAATCTAACTGTTCAAAGGAAGCTATGTCCTCAACTAAGTCTTCTTCACAAATGTCTTCTGCCGTGCCCACAGTGTCTCCACTGTGTGCACAGTCGATCAAACTTAGATCTAAATCATCACCTACTGAGTATATAGACGAACAGTCCTCAATCTCCCCATTGAACTTAAG